CCGATACACTAAGGAGTTAGTACAAAAGTACGACTGCTGCCAATGCTACAAGCCAGTACCAGCACTACCTGCCAACAAATCACACCCGCAGACGAATCATTGGTCGTTCATGCAGTGGGAAATCAACTTGGTAGGGCCAATGTTACCCGCTACTAGGGGTAAAGGCATAACGATCGTGACAACCGATTACTTCACTAAATGGGTAAAAGCATAGCCCATGATTACCACGACACAGACGGACATAGAGCGCTTTATATGGAGGAACATCATTTGCCGATTTAGCATCCCTCAATCCATCGTCACAAACAACGCCCTGCAATTCGTAGGCAAAGATTTGGCGAAGTTCTTCCAAAATTATGGCATCAAGCAGCACATGTCTACACCAAGATATCCTCAAGGCAATAGGCAGGTCGAAGCATCCCCTAAGATGATCCTCAACTGCCTCAAGAAGTCCCTCTCCGACAAAAAGGGAAAATGGTAGATGAACTCTCCAGATATCTGAGGGCATATCACACCACTAAACGATAACCCATCGGTGAGACTCCTTTCTCTTTGATATTTGGTTCAAAAGTGATCATTCCTCCCAATGTTATTGTGCCAAGTATCGACACTCAACTGCCAAACATCGAGCAAAATAGTAAGGAGATGGCCACAAGCTTAGATTTCGCAGAGGAAAAACGCGAGCAGACCATCACCCGTATAGCAGCTTACCAGCAACAACTTCTCTCCAGCTATAACAAAAGGGCCAAGATCCGACAGTTCCAGCCCGGAGATCTAGTCCTAAGGAAAACCTTCATCACTGCTAACAGAAAGGGCTCCAAAAAGATGAATTCTATCTAGTAAGGTCCGTACAAGATCAGCAGAGTAGGCGGCAAAGGAAATTACACCTTTACCACCATAAACAACAAAGAGATCGAAAAACAGTAGAACGCCTACAATCTAAGGAAGTACCATGTGTAATCTCCAGCTACATCAAAGCCCGAAGACTCAAGCAACTCGACGAGCACTACCTCACAAGCCAAGGACTATCTAGTTGTTATGCAGTTCCTACCTTACAGCTAAGTTCTCTTCACTCGTTTTTCAATAAGGAATTCAAAAGTAATCAGCAACTTGGCTCGGCTACATGCTTACGACAACTGATCACTCTTAAACTTCAAAAGAAGACCGCACCTTTCTTAGGGACTCAATTTAAGAATTGCGCCTTTTAAGGGACCAACCATGCTCTCCTGTGCGAGAGGGTAAACCAATTCCCCGACACCCATATGGGTCTGCTCTCCATTGCGAGAGGATAAAATAATTGCTTTCCAGTGCGAAAGGTAAACCAATTCCCCGACACCCACATAGGTCTGCTCTCCAAAGCGGGAGGATAAACTTACCCTCTGAACAAACGTGGGTGAGACGAGTTGCCCAGGTATAACTAGGTGTATGATGGCTTGCACCAGGATTCCTAGAAGTAGCCACAATGGCCTTTTTCAAGGCTTAACTAGTTGAAGGATTTTGGGTCTCTTGGCCTAATTCGTGGGAACCTGGCCCTAGAGACGGAAGGGGCACATTACGCAGTACGCCCTACAAACGATTGCCCTGAAACCCTAAAGCTGCTACTGAGTGCACTAAGGTAGCCTACGGTTTCTAGAATACTGCCTACGGCTTGCCCTTCGAGTAGTAAAGCCATGCTAAATTTATACAACTGCATATTCTTGTGAAAGGTTAAACAAGCTAGTGTGCATATACAAAGCTTTATTCACTGCCGACATGCTACGTAGTTAATAAGCTTCACATCTGCCAAGCGCGGAACAACCTACACCAAGTCCTAAAGTGTTGTGATACCTGTTACGCAACCTACAGAATTGTAGAAAGCCAAGGTTAATAGCCAGTGGTCACGCGGACTTGTGTGCTTCTATAAGTAAGGCGTCCGGTTGCTAACCCTATGGCTAACAACTTTGCAAAGTTCTAATCCAACACCTACGGCTGCATAAGCTACGCGGCCTATCTGTTTATAAAAAAGTAGCACGCCTACCACTGGTCTATAAAGTCTTAAGGTTAGGGCATGAACAAAAGAAGCGAAGATAAAGGAAAGCGAAGGAAACAAGTTTATTAAATTTTCTAGCAAAATTGATAAACGACTAGCAAAGACCGAAGGAGTTCAAGCAAAGCAAAAGCAACAAGGAACATAAAGAAAATCCTAGAGACTACCTAGAAGACTACTCTTCAGCAACTTGGACACTCCACGACTACTCGGTCGCCACACCTTCAGCAGCCGCGACATTCTCAGCAGCGGCACCATCCGGCGCTTCAACCCTGGCTGCTTCAGCCTGGGCACCAATCTCTCCGACTACTTCTCCAATAAAAGCCTCAAAAGTAAAGGCAAACAAGCCTTCCAGAGAAATAAAGAAGCAAGAGTCCATGTCTTCAAGCAAATCTGGTTTCAAAAACGCACATATCTCAACAGCCTCCCCAGAAGCAAGCTTGATGGATTTCTCACAGCTGCTCACGCGAGCAGTCTCATCTTCCCAGCAGGCGAATCAATCTCAGTAGTAGAAGAAGTGGGCCTTAGCGCCACTTTAGCAGCAGAGTCTACCTTATCACTTTTCATAATAGTAAGCCTCTTCAAATGTGAACCGTACTTAGCTCCCAATGGACATCTTGGTATAGACTTCAACATTGGGGGCATAACAAGACCTTTACATTGAGCAATCCTATCAACAATCGTAATAGCCATTCTCGACATGGCAGGTGCCACAGGCTCAAATCTAGCAGCCCAAGCAGTGGTCTTTACCACAACACCTCCTCGGCCCATGCCGAGCCGACTTCTGGCCCATGCCAGCCGATGTGCCGCACCACCCTGACGACTGCACCGAGACAACACTATCCAAGAAGAAGATGAGAAAAATTAAATTTTTCTTACCTCGGTGCAGTGCGGAGAAGACGATTCAAGCAACAAAAGACGATCATTTGCATGGGCAAGATGTAGAAGATTGCTAAAGAAGGGGGAACAAATATCCTCTAAGCTCTCCTTCTCTTGTATGGTAAAATAAACCGCTCTCCAAAGTTGATTTAATAACCCACTTAAGGTGGACTTAAATAGGCTTTGAGAGAAATTTATTTCTCTTTCCTAAAAGGATCTAATTTCCTATTAAAGTGGAAATCTACATCAAAATAGGAAACAATCCTACGTTTCTTAAAGCAAGAAGATCTCTACACCTACTGCCTTTTCCTACGAGCAGCCCAACAGGTGTGGGGGCATTTGTGGAGCCAAAAATAATCAAGAGGCGACACGTGGATTTTTGGGTGAAAATGACAAAATTACTCTCGAGGCACACCAGAATTCCAATTCTTTTACTAAACTCTCTAAATTCTCCAAACACTTTTTCCTAAAATTCTAACTTTGGCATCGGAGGTTCTTTGACCAAAGCTCCCTAATAAGAAGATTGCTAAAGAAGGGGGAACAAATATCCTCTAAGCTCTCTTTCTCTTGTAGAGTAGAATAAATCGCTCTCTAAAGTTGATTTAATAACCCACTTAAGGTGGACTTAAATAGGTTTTGAGAGAAATTTATTTCCCTTTCCTAGAAGGATCTAATTTCCTATTAAAGTAGGAATCTACATCAAAATAACAATCTTACGTTTCTTGAAGCAAGAAGATCTCTACACCTGCTGCCTTTTCCTACGAGCAGCCCAACAGGTGTGGAGGCATTTGTGGAGCCAAAAATAATCAAGAGGCAACACGTGGATTTTTGGGTGAAAATGACAAAATTACCTTCGAGACACACCTGAATTCCAATGCTCTTGCTAAACTCTCTAAATTCTCCAAACAATTTTTCCTCAAAATTCTAACTTTGGCATCGGAGGTTCTCGGCCAAAGGCCCCCCCCCACCCCATTCATCATGGGGCATGAGGCTCTTAGCCTTGACCTAAGGTGTTATTTGTTTTGTAGGTGCAATTTTGTCCAAGAGCAAGGAGAAAAAAATTTGCATCCACACATATGGTATAGTTTCAATTTCACCACCCCCGGTCCATGTGTCGGATGCAACACCACATCGTGACCTGTAATGCACATACAAAAAGCCTCAGTAGCAAACGACTTCCTTCTAAATCATCTGCGCAATCTCTTGCTTATATTCCATGGTTTTCCTACAACTATCATGGGTTTGAGTTACCACGGTTACCCGCTTATTTAAAGCTCACGGTTAAGATTATGGATAACCGTTTAGACGAACAAACGGTTATGGATATAACCGTTTATCCATGAAATTTAAATGAGCGGTTATGGGTATTACCCGCAGTTATAATCGGTATCTATTGGTTATGGATATTACTCGCGGTTATAACGGGTATCCATTTACCCATTTAATTTAATATATGTAAAATTAAAAACCCTAAATTTTCAATCTCTCTGTTATACTCAAACAAAAGAAGCATTCTTATGGAAATGATATGAAAAAAACATGTAGACGGGTTAAAAAAAGGGTAAATGGGTAAAAAAAGGATAAACGGGTTCAAAAACAGGTAAACGATTATGGTTAAATAGGTAAATGGTTATGGTTAAATGGGTACACGGTTATGAATATGGTTAACCGTTTATGCAATTACCCAACGAGTAAATGGTTATGCGAGTATAGAAATAAACGGTTATGGAGAAATAACCACGGTTACCTGCCCGCCATAACCGTTGCCTACCCCTACAACTGAGAATCCAAGGGAAAGATCCCCTAAGGCTTTGATATTAACCTCTAATTGGGGACCGAAATTTGTGTTAACCATAGTATTCATGTTGTCTCTTTTGTGTTAACCTACTGAATTCTAGTCAACACTAACTGGACCACACAAATTAATCATTTTTAACGACTTCGAGTTAACCAAAATATCGTGAACTACAACTTTGAAATTGAACTCCCTTTGCTTCTTAACCGAACTATCACTTATGCGTACGTATCAAACTAAAAAAATAAGCGATTAAAAGAGAGGAACAATTTTCCGAACAATTGATGACCGAGATAAAAATGAAAGAGCTAAAAGAAATTCCTTAGCGTCATCAAACTATATATGCGTCAAGCAACGGTTAGCATACAAAATGAGCTTTTACAACAGATGTAAGAGGGTACTGAGGGTCAGAACAGGTAGCAAGCACATAAGGTAGAAGTTTATACCGACTGTTCAGACGCAGCAAGTTATTTACTTGAGGGAGAGGTCAATCTATTTTCGTCGGAGTCATGCTTTGATGAAGCATCTCCGCCCATCAATTCCTGGAATCCTTCCACCTTCACGGGTGGAGCCCTCAGAACACTCGTGTTCCTGCACACATGAGCAAGTTCCAGAATGTCAGTGAAGTATTACTCGTATGGACAATTAATAATTTTATTCTTCAGATTTTCCTTACTGTGCTTGGACTTGAGGAATTTGGGAAGCCATCTGTCTAAATTGATTGCCCGACTGAGCATGGACATTTGACATTGTAAGATTCGACATTGGAGGAATTTGCTGCTGCCTGAACTGCATCTGTGGATGTCTGCTATTCAAACTGTTGAAGGCATTACCATCCATGGGTAACTCTGATGGGGCTTCAATCTTGACCTGTACCATTGGTCTGTCCTTCTCCATATCCATACCCATGCGAGGAGTGGATGGTTGACGTCTTCGCATTCTTTCTAACTGCTGTGGCTGCTGAAAAGGCACATTTTTGGAATGGGCAATTTGTTGCACCTGTGGATGCATTTGTCGGACCTAACAATGTAATAAAAGAAACCATTATTAATAATATCGTACTATGCAAAGATCAACTTTTTCTTTTTCTTTTTTCTGAAAAAGATCAGCATTTTGAAACTAGAAAACCCCTACAACTCCATAAACTTCAGAAGCTATTTGGGAAACTGAGGAAATATGTACAGCATTCCCACAGATAACCCATGAACGATCCATAAATAACTTATACACAAGGATCAGGTTCAAAATATAAAATTTATAAAGGAAACAATTGAAATTATCAATACTTGTTGGGGTAGTCGAATAAGATTCTGGTGCTGTGGCTGCAACTGAGACTGGATTCCGTGCATTTGCTGCTGAGTTTGCTGAAAATTCTTGGAGCCATCTTTGACTTGCTCCACTAGAGCACCAAAATTACTTGTGGAAAAAACAAAAACACGTAAGTAATGGATACACTAGAAACTTGAATTATTACATGTGATTAATTTGCACAAACATAATACAATGTTGATAATGGAAGGGAAGAGTTTAAATTGAAAGTCCAAACCTAACGTCCTTAGATTTCACTCTGCTAGTCTCAAAGTCACAGACAAGCCCATTCTTAAAATTATGTTAACGGTCATAGCCCTTCTATTGTTAATTTACTTTAGTGCTAAAAAGATATAATCGCCTTAACATTTACAGGGCATCTTCCATTATGAGATTATTTAGGATTGTTAAGTTCGGTCTCCTAGAGTCTGCTCGACTGTGGCCATGGGCAAGGTGAAATTCCCCATAGCCTAAAAAAAAAGGGTTCAGTCTTGTAGATGAGTTCAGTAGTATTTATTAGCTGCTAAGATGAGTGCCTGCAGCAAATTTCAAGTAGAATACTCTTAAAACTGTGATTAACACCCTGGAAGCAGTTCTTCTGTATAAAGTGAGAAGGCAAAAAGGGAGCTTTCATGATTACAAAAAATGCCCCTCCCTTCTTTAAATTTTTAAAGAATGCAATTTAATTAAGAACGGATAAACTGTAAAATTCAAATCAAAACTACCTCACGTACAGGAGGAGTAGTTACTGACATCTATTTTTGTTTTCATTTTTAATCTTTTAAACACATCTAAATTCAATTTTTAAAAATAAAATACAAAAGAGCCAATTGCTACACTCATAGGTGTGTGGCTAGAGGCTAGTTTAATCATTAATCCGGAGCCTATAATATCATATTATTTTGATCAATCATTTTCCTCTCTTTTCTAACCCAGGAGAATTCATACCAGCTTAAGTAATGGATCATAAATAAATTAACACATGAACCAACAATGTGACAGTAATTTTTAAGAAAACTACCACTAGATAAGACTAAATCTCAACAAAAAAGAGAAAAGTATAACCTTAGGTCCGTAAACTCACCCATATCCCACAGTTTGAAGGAACATCTTTAGCAGTTCAAGGGCTGAGCACTGCTTTCTGTAACTATCAGCAAGAAGTTTCAAGCTGCCACCCAACTTCTGGATATGGCAGCTTAGTAACTGAGAGAAAACATCAATTGGAACTTCTGTAGTACCTTCAAACCCAATATTTGTCATCATCCTAGCTACTACCTTTTGAGATAACTGTGTTGCTTGCTCTTGACTAAGACATTTTTTGTTCCCTCCAGAAGCATTTTTTCCGCGATGTAAGATTCCTCCTTGTTCCATGCTGAGGTATTCAGGCCTGATGCCAAGCCTCTCAAGCATAACGGGACTCCTAGTCATTATCTGAGGCAATGTATCAAGAACTCCATAACATTCCACTTTTTTGTTGTCATCCACTCTATTCAAAGGTGGAAGTGCACTATCAGGAACACAGTTGAATGTAAACATTGTTTCCGGGAAAAAAGATGTTTCGCTATCAACTGAGTTACTACCATCTAAAAGAGAACTTGGCTTCATGTGTGATGCATCTTGGATGGGATTTCCATATCCCATATATGGATCTTCTTTGAAAGCTACACGTCTTTTCTTATGACTCTCGTGAAGCTTAAGGTAAGCAGACATCTCCTCTGGGGTACGTTTCTCTGAGTCTCGCTCCACCGAAGACAACCTATACGGTTTGCTCATTCTATATCTCTCAATAAACTGATTATACCATGTTTCAGGCAGCTCTCCATTTTTGAATCTCAATTGTATGTTATCAATTTCAGATTCTCCATATCTTGTTCCAGCACCAAAAGCTGCTTTAGATTGAACCTGAAAACAGTCATACACTAAAAATATATAACAATTCTCCAGTCTCCACAGGTTCTGTTTCTAACTTTTTGCTTAAGTTTCCTCCCACATTTCTTTTGACTTAAGTTCATTAGTTCAGTTCAATTTATAATTGTATCGCGGTTGGACTAGAATGTGGGCCTGTTTGGCACCCTTCTTGGATCCCATTTTTTGTTTTAAAAAATAATGAATGCAGCTAAATTACTTAACACTTATTCGTCCAGAAACAAACAATTGGATCCAAAAAGGATACCAAACAACCCCTTAGATTCTAGAATTCATATTGTTTTGGATACACCAGGTAATAAACTCCGCCAACTGAATTGGCGCATTTTTAGATTCTAGAATTCATATTGTTTTGGTACACCAGGTAATAAACTTCGCCAACTGAATTGGCGCATTTTGCTAAATGATGAGGAGCTAATCACTTATGCATCCATACGAATTCTGCAAGATGAAATCTGAGGACATTTTTATAACCCATTTCCATCGAATTCTCAGTAGCCAAGTTTTTGAAACACACGAAAGAAAACGTGGAATTAATATGCAAACGAGGTGAGTGAATTCCACATTTTCTTAAAAATGATTCCATACATACTTCACATAAAGAAAATTATAACAAAATTCGAAAATGCATAAATATACAAAATCCATGAACTAATTTCAGATTACTGCACTAACACATTCACGGCACAATCAACGAAAGCTCGAAAATCATACCTTGGACGGCACCGAAGCGTCACGCTGTTGAACTTGCACCCCATCCTGCGACGAATTATCTAGAGTGAAGTAGACGTCGTCCAGGTGGAGCTGCAAATCTGCACACAAAAGCAATGGCAGCCATCAGAAGCCATGAAAGTAAGCCGAAACGAAAGCAACAAGAGACTCAGAAACTCACAATTGGGATTGAGCTTGGAAACGGCGATTGAAGAAGAAGAGGAGGAGGAGGAGGAGGAGGAATTGGGGGGGAGGAAGAGGGAAACGCAGGCCTTGTCGAAAAGAAGAGCTCGAGCACGGAGTTGGAGATGGAGGTGAGGCCTAGATTTGGAGTCCATGAAAGCTTCCCAGGTTGAAGTGGAACTGAGGAAGGGGGCGAAGATGGCGTAGGTGGAATCGCCGAGCCATGTGCGCCAGACGTTGCAGGATTCGAGTTTGCAGGCGAGTTCGTAACCACGACCGTCGTCCCCGAGTAGAGCCATTTAGAGAAAGGTGAAAGGGAGGGACGACTTGGATGCTGTGCTGGTGAGTGGTGACTATGGCAATTCAATTTCTGCGTTTTCTGATTTTGGGGTCTGAAAATTGAAAATTCAACCCAAATTAAAAAAGAGAGAGTTACATAAAACAGTTTATTTCTTTTTATTACATTGTTTCGGTTGAATAATATAATCCCATGTATAAATTTTTGTAAATGTTATTGTGTAATTGAATTGAGACGTTTACGTGGGACCGTGATGTTTTAGAAGTTATTAGACGTATTTGAAAAGTCCGTCATGAACTCAACATCTCTGACCAGATTAGGCTGCTCAGGCATGCCAGTGATTCCACCCAGTTGCGGAGTCAAGACTTTGTAATAATGGGGTTATAATAAATAAACTTTTCACAAGGAAAAAAACTTTATGAATTAACCTACTTAAAAGTATAAATACATGTGCCATTTAATACTACTGTCTAGTGATATTCATCTTCACTTGTAAATGAGAGTTCTTAAGTTCGAATCTCGTGGATGACGAGTTGACAACCAATGCATTCCCCCACCCTTAGTATAAATATTTCATTATATTAAAAAGATTATAAAATATATGTAATCAGTAATACCCTAGAAAATTTAGAATATATGAAAGTGTAGAAGATTTATCGATAAGTGGAAAATGCCCCTCGTTGATTAAACATAATTTTACGAGGACGTATTTTATCCTCGTATATTTTATCGTATTTCTTGACATATATGGATGAAGTTTGATCCTACGAGTGTGTAGGCAAAAACCATTCGTGAAACAAAGTTATAACGAAGAAATTAGAGATGTTTTCGTTATTGGAAAAAAATAAATAAATAAAAGAAATGAGGTTGGAAGCTAGCAAGTGGCAGCAAGAGAGAGGGAAAATGAGGGATGCGGGGGATTAAAGGAGGAGGGGAGAGGACTAATGGGCAAAGGAAGAAGGGAGGTGAGGGAGCACCGGATCCTTTTGGATCCGTGCAACCGACCCGACCAAGTTCCTTGATCCAATCTTATCTTCTCAATTCGACCTTTATTCAAGGTGGTTCAGGTGTCTATGGAAAGCTCTTGTCGAGCCCAACATCTCTGTGGTGTTAGATTTCTAGATTTCTAACCCAAATTCACAAATCAAAGCCACAAAACCCACAGGTGTCCGTGGTGGTTTATCATTTTTCTGATGAATCCGACAACGATTGTCATCAATGACCACCACCAAAAGACTGCCCTTAATCCCAGGGACAAGGCCCAAGCCTTGGATGAGGTGTCAGAGTTCGTTTTGGTGGTGAATCGACAACTTACCCAAATTGAGGGTTTCGGCGGTTAGAGGGATTTTCCGGCCACTTCTCGGCTGAATTAGACTTCAGCCCAGTATGAAAGTTGTTCCTCTCATTGAACTCTACAACCTTGTAAAATTTGGTAATTTTTAGAGTTTGTTAGCATTTCGAGTTTCGGTTCGCCGGAAACCGCCACACGTGGCGGCATGTGGACAGTGAGCCGACGATGCCTTTCTAAGCTAATTTCAATATTTTGAATCTATATTTGATATATAATTTGTGTGAATTGCTTGTTTGAACTTAGTTAGTGATTGTTAGTCACTTGAATGATTTTGGAAATGAGTTAGAAATTGAATTTGTGAACTTTGAATGACTTGATTCCTTCATAGGGTACGTAGGTAGTCTAACGAATATGTTAGATGCAGCCATAAAATAATCCAAATTTATTATTGTGCTGGATTTCTTCTAAGGAAAGAAATTATTATGGTTAATAGCGTGGAAAATGGTCATGAATGTATTTTGGCCTATTACCGAATTTTAGCTTCCAAATAAGAATTTTTGGATCGTTACAAAGTTAGAGCAAATGATCCTGCTCCAGATTATGCAACCTTCTTGAGTTCTCGTTGGTGTGAATTATGATATGCATTGTGTTGCATTAATTCATAATTTTTGTGAATGAAGTGGCATTCATGTGATATGAATTGTGGTTGCAATATTTCATAATTTTTGTGATTAAAGTGACATCCATGTGATATACATATGTGAGACACATGTATGATGTGCATTGTGATTTGGAGCAATTTCCATGGAGATTATGGAATTTTGTTAGTGGAAATTATGTTTTGCATTGTGGTTGCAATATCTCATAATTTCTATGAATATGTGAGTTACATATATGTATTGTGGATTACTCACCTGTGTGGTTATGAGTACAGGTTCCTCTAAGTTGTGAATGCAGGTTCCATGGATGATTTGGATGGCCTGAGAGTGAAAGGGACGGTGAGGTTCCCCTAGGTTTCGATCCCCTAAACCTTCAGAGAGTGTTATACAGTTGGACTACTCCTGAGGGATAGTCCATGTGGTATTGCCATTGGAAATGAACACTCGTAGATTGAGAGTTACTAGGAGTGAGGGGCACTGCGTGCTGCCTTAGGTTTTGATCTCCTAAACCTCTGGAGGCTTACATGGCCGAAGTTGTACCATATCATGTGGGAAGGGTACTTGGTTCTATGGTGTAAGATTAAATGGACACTATTGTTACCCTACTTCATGCTGTTATGGTCAAATTGAAGCAAGGGTAATCAGCCGCGAGATTGGTCATCAGGTTGGATTATGTTGGCACCCGAGTTCTGAGAAGGAATCGTGGTGACAGCTGTGTATAGCCAATAAAGGTAAGTGATTTTACCTGTGATTGTGATTTGAAATTCCAATGATTTGGTGGGAATTTCTTATATTTGATTTGCCAATTTTAATGGTTTGGCTTGAAATTGTGATATTCACTTAGCCACTGATGATTATGGCTTGGTATTTTGGTATTTATTTGGTCAATGATGATGGTTTGGCTGGAATTTATGATATTTTTTTTGCCAATGATGAATATGGCAAAATTTTCTGATGTTTTGTATCGCCAGTGTTTGGGGCTAGAAATTTCGAGGAAGAATTGTGGTAACGGCTGCTTATAGCCAATGATGGTAAGTGGTTTTGCCAATAATTGTGATTGGAAATTTCAATGATTTTGGGTGGAAGTTCTAATATTTGATTTGCCAATTCTAAAGGTTTGGCTTGAAATTGTGATATTTATTTAGCCACTGATGAGTTTGGCTTAAAATTTTGATATTTATTTGGCCAATGATGGTTACGGATAGGAATTTATGATAATTGTTTTGTCAATGATGAATATGGCAATGATGGTAAGTAGTTTACCCATGATTGTGATTATGATGCTAGTATTTATCTAACCAATGGTAGATGTGGTTGATAATCTAGTATTTATTTAGGCCTTGAGGATTATGGCTTGATGTTTGGTATTATTTTGCCAATGTGTATGGCTAGAATTTCCAATATTTATTCTACCAATAAGCATGGTAGGAACATGAGTATAAATGATTACTTCGTGGAAGTATTTATTTCTGGGGCTTGAATAAAATTGTAGACTGATATTATGATTTTATTCACTATACATGGAATGGTGGAATTAGCGTTAATTCCTTTTTAGTTATTCGAGGGTAGAAATCTCGAGGACGAGATTTATTTTAACGGGGGTCGAATGTAATACCCTAGAAAATTTAAAATATATGAAAATGTAGAAAATTATCGATAAGTGGAAAATGCTCCTCATTGATTGAATGTAATTTTACGAGGACGTATTTTATCCTCATATATTTTATTGTATTTCTTGACATATATGGATGAAGTTCGATCCTACGAGCGTGTAGGCGAAAGTTGTTCGTGAAACGGAGTTATAACGAAGAAATTAGAGATGTTTGTTGGACTTTGTACCCAACCCATCTTTTCATCCATTTTGAAGCTGTTTGATAACTATTTTTATTTTAGTTTTTGAATTTCATTTTTTGTGCTTGACGTACATTAAGAAAGTATGAAAGAGAAAGGTGGGAGAAGGGCAAGTGTTTGAGATAAATAAGGTGGGATGAAGGGTAATGGGAGAGAAGAGTAGAAATAAAAATTGTAAAGCGAAAACTTCTTAAAATAGTTTTTTTGTTTTTTTATTCCAGTTTTTTGTCTTATTTATGCATTTCCTTGTATGTTTCTATCTCATTCATGTCCTATTTTTTCAACGATAAATGAACTAAAACTAAAAATGTAAGTGTTGTCAAGCGGACTCTAAATTAACGGTTAAGTTTTGTATATTTTTATGACCGCTTGTGGGGAGCGGGTGAGTTATGGGGATAAGGGCGGGAGTGGGTTACTCGGAATGAATGGGGGAAGGAGTTGTCAGAGAGGGAATGACATGTGAAGGGTGCCGCATCTTAGCCATCTATGTTATTTATGGGTTTGGTTTCCATGTCCTCGACTTCAACCACGGCCAACCACTATATGGAGCGAAGCGTTGCTTCAACTTTGGTACCAATTTGATGCAAGGCAATAGTGATTAGTTGACGTCTAGCGCGGGTAAAATAAGCGAAATTAGCAATTCCAAACCACAAACAACATGTGCTTTAGGCCACAGTAATACTTTTCTCTCCCTGAGAGTTGTTCTCACCACTTGTGTGAGGGTTTCCAATTAAGGTTTTTCGTTCAGCCGTTGGCTTCTAGCTATGGCTAGGGTCGGTGGCAGCCTTTTCTTTATGCTCTTAATTTGTTCTTCTCTTCGTTACCTTTTGCTACAATTTCCCCCTTGCTAGCCTTTCCCTTCAGAATGATCTTTCCAACCTACAAACCATAAATCCTAATCGTCAATGTCCTCAAAACCATTTCCTTCTTTTCTCTAATTCATGATATCCCTCAATCTTCACTCCTCCCTTCTTTCTAATTGGCTTCATCTTTCACCAATATCATTCCAAATCCGGTTTGCAATCACTTTTAACCGCGATTGGTTGTGGTACATCGAGAGGGTGTGTAAAGTTCCGGTGATTACACTGGCTTAGGTGTTTGCACCACCTCCTTCTCTTGGTCTGCCATCATTGGCAAGGTCGCTAGTGGGAATCCCACCGACTTCTTTGTTGTCTTTTACTTGGTGGCTGCAACCAGAGATGAGTTTTTTGTTGGATGATGGAGTCTTCCTTCCTTCCATCTCTGTGGTGTTGTTTGGTCGAATTTATGGCGTTGGATGGGTTTGGTGGTTCGAGATAATCAAGAGGTGCTACT